GGAGTTGGAGGTTGCTGTGAGCTGTAATGCCACGGCACTCTGCCCAGGGTGACAGCTTGAGGCTCTGTCTCAAAAAAAAAAAAAAAATTGAGAGAGTTTTATATGCTATTAGAAATTACCTGTCTGTCTTCACCACTAAACAGCTCCGAACAAAAATTCTACTACCAGCGCACATATACAAGTGCTCAATACGTAACTGGTTGACATTGATAATCCTTGACTCCACAAGAAAGAAACTAGCTACAAGTTCATAATTTCTGGCTTACTTATTAGAAACCTCTGCCTCTATGTTCCAGACTCAGCCTAAAGGAAAAACACCAAAACCAAAGGCTGAGCGTCAAGGAAAAATACCAAACCCAAATCTCTTGTAGGTAGTTTGGGATTATCCAACTCAGTAAACAAGCCTTCAGTAGGTTTAACTAAACGACAGAAATAAAACGAGCCAAATACCTGTCATCTATATACCTATATTTACAATTAGCCACAGTTATGTTAATGATAACTTCTGTCCCAAATTGGGAGATTTTCCTAAATCAAAAGCCTACCTTAACACGAAATGTAGATCTTAAATCTAGGGAGTAACAAACATAAACTTGAAAAAGAAAATTTATGAAGCCAGAAGTCCCTCTCCGACTTAAAACATTTTGGAAACAAGTTTCATTACTTCCAGATAAGTTTGTGAAGTTTCTAAAGTACTTTCTTGAAGAGGGACTAGAGTTCCACTCAAAATGAAAATTGGTAACTAACGAAGAGGGTGCTGCGTCCCACACGCTACTCTTACTTTAAGGCCTGTAAGTCACGGGTTGGGGGTTGGGGGGGAATCGTTCGGTCTTTACATTCATCTCTTGGAAGGCACGCGGGATCCCCGCGCGACCCATTCTAAGGGCTCAGGCCCCAACACCCGCGGCGCAGCCAAGATGGGAGCAGAAGCGGCGGGAGCCGGACGCCGTCAGCAGGCCGCGCGCACGCGGCTTTCCCGCCTCCTGCAGCTGAGGCAGCTCAGCCTCCCGACTCGGTTTAAGCGCTCCCTTCACAAACTTCACCCCGCTCGGTCACTTCCTCACCTCACAAGCTTCATCCTGGCGGTGCCGTCACCCTTCAGGTCAGACAGCAAACAGAATCCAACAACCTTAGACTAACCGACTCAAAGTATGAATGGCCGGAAACGCCTACTGCAGGGGCTCGGGACGTACAGAGCGCACAGAGCGCCGCAGACGCACAGCGGAAATGACGAGACGGCGAGGCGCACTCTCTTCCGGTCGCGAGGAGAGCGACTGCGGCTCCTGGCGGTTGGAGGTTACCTTGCTCCTGTTGAGGGCGTCGAGGGTTGGTCTAGGAAGGTATTTTCTGCAAGAGGAGAGATCGGAAGATTTGAGGAAGATAAATCTAAGCAGTAGTCCGGACGCCTTTATGCTTTGGCACAACAGGGCACAGTGCATGATGAAGCATCAATTATAATTTCCTCAGTGAACAAAGAGAAGTTTTGAGAGAAGCCTGAAAAATTATTCTAGGCTTGGTGCCTGTGGCTCAAGCGGCCAAGGCACCAGCCACATACACCTGAGCTGGCGGGTTCGAATCCAGCCTGGGCTGGCCAAACAACGACGGCTGCAATTGAAAAATAGCTGGGTGTTGTGGCGGGCACCTGTAGTCCCAGCTACTTAGGAGGCGGAAACAGGAGAATCGCTTGAGCCCAGGAGTTGGAGGTTGCTGTGAGCTGTGATGTCACAGCACTCTACCCAGGGCGACAGCTTGAGGCTCAGTCTCAAAAAAAAAAAAAAAAGATTATTCTAATTCTGTCCCAACACCAAGAACCTTGGTGCCTGAAGAAAATCGCACAAAGTTCTGATCTCCAAAACAAACTTTTCTATCTTTTTCTTACTGGACATTTTGGCAGAATTTAGCACAACATTCCTTTTTTGAAACATCTTCCTCTCTTGGCTTCCAGTGTGCCAAGCACACGTGGTTTTCATCCTATTCCACTGACTACTCTTTCTAGGCCTCCTTGCAGGCTCATCTTTCTCTAAAAAGATTAGCAATACATGCTGGCATATTTGGGGGCATATGGCTGTTGTCTCTTTAAGCATCCTTTTTCCTAGGTAAGTTAATCTCTTCCAGAAACATGGCTTTAATTTCTATCTCTTGTCTAGACTTTATCTCTGATCCAGAACTCTTGGATACTGTAGGGTAATGCTTATCAAAGTTTAATGTGCATAGGACTCACCTGGGGAAACTTTAAAATGAGAGTTCTGATTCAGTCGTTGTGGAGCCTGAAATTATACATTTCTTTTCTGTTCTTTTCTTTCTTTCTTTTTTTTTTTTTTGAGACAGTCTCACTATGTTGCCCTCAGTAGAGTGCTGTGGTGTCACAGTTCACAGCAACCTCAAACTCTTGGGCTTAGTGGTGTCACAGTTCACAGCAACCTCCAACTCTTTGGCTTAAGCGATTCTCTTGCCTCAGCCTCCTAAGTAGATGGGACTACAGGTGCCCACCACAACACCTGGCTATTTTTGGTTGCAGTTGTCATTGTTCAGCAGGCCCAGGATGGGCTCAAACCCACTACTCAGTGTATGTGGCCGGCACCCTTACTCATTGAGCTACAGGTGTGAAGACTTCTTTTTCAAAAAAATTTTTTTTATGACATAGCATCTTACTTTATCACCCTCGGTAGAGTGCTGTAGCATCACAGCTCACAGCTCACACCTCAAACTCTTGCGCTTCAGTGATTCTCTTGCCTCAGTCTCCTAAGTAGTTGGGACTACAGGAGCCCACAACGCCATTTAGCTATTTTTTAGAAACAAGGTCTTGCTCTGGCTCAGGCTGGTCTTGAACTTGTGAGCTCAGGCAATCTGCCCACCTGGGCCTCCCAGAGTGCTAGGATTACAGTGGTGAGCCACTGTGCCCGGCCTTTAAAAACCATTTTCTTTTCTTTCTTT